TCACCACAGAATAATGTTATATCGGGTATAATTGAGAACCAGAGAGGACTGGACTAAGAACAGTCTCATAAATCAAATAATTCTCCACAGATCCCTTTCCGCTGTTGTATATAGTATTGATTTTATTTTTTTTTAGTTGTCATTTGGCTAATCCAATTGATACAAGAGAAATGTAAAGCAACACATTTTTCTAATCAGCATACTGATGATCAAAATAACATTAGTAGCACACAAGATATGTATATTCAACGTTTAAATTCTTGTTTGATTTATATGGATTTATGGAATAAAGGTTATTATATTAGTACATCCACTGCAAAAATGGGTGGTGATCTCCTGGTTTATCAAGGTGAGTAGTAAATTTTAGTTATTGATTCTGTTTCTTTTTCGACCTGTCTTTTGTGTTCATTCCTTTTTTTCCGTTTTCTTGTATCAAACACAAATGTTACATAAAATTCCTCTCATTAATTACGTTAATATAGTATGAAATATCTTTAGTTTATTTTTGTCGTGCTGTAAACATATGATGTAATAGTGTGGTAATTATTAATTTTTCTAAAGTTCAATTTCATAACTTTTCACTGGTGGATTATTTGCCGTACTTTATAATGGTTGTTATACTCACTTCTGTATAGTTTTTTTATTTACATGAAATAATAATGTAATATCACACTGTTGTGGTGTGTGCTACTGATGTCAATAGATATACGTAGTATGTATCATCAACAGAAAGTGAAATGTCTGGTGGTAGAAGGTTAAGAAGATCGAAGAACAGAGAATGATTGGTGTGTAATTGATGGAAAAATAAAGTCTGAGACGAATGATTGACATTTTGCAAATGAAGTATTTGCTGTATAGTTCTCAAATTTTACTAAGATATTATGTAGTTTTATGTTCAAATAGATTTGATTGTCCCCACTTGTGTTCTCATTCACTGCAGTATAATGCAGATCACAACTTCATGAAATGTACATATATTTTTTTCTTGATTCTTATTGATAACAATCTAAAAGGTGTTGTCCCCATTTTCATAAATAAATAGTTAAATTTGCTTTAATTATGTAAATAAAATAAATCAGAAGTGAAGTGAATATTCATATGTCGTAAGGCAATAGGTAGCATTAAACAAAATATTCATCACTATATCTCATCTTTCTGAGTTATTGTGCTCTCTAGTAATTAGTTTCAAAATGGATTTCTCAAATTTTTAATAATAAAATTGTAAAATCACTTATATTGCGGTGTGGTAAATGTTAAGACAGCTTTCGAGAACCACTATGGAGCCTCCAACGACCTTAAAGGAGGTGGGGTTTTCTAGAATATCAACGTTGCATGCTACGATTGAACACTAGCCTAATTTGCCTTCTTGGGGATTGGCTGCATTTTATAGATGTCATAGCCAACGCTAATAACTATAAATACCCTTGCTTTTCTGAACATTTTCGATTCTTACCCAATAATCACTTCTCCTGCTTCGTCTGTCCTCTAATATTCGTTCGAGTACCGTTAGTTTTATATCGTATTCTGCGTTAATCGCAATCAGTATGAATTTTATTTTTATCTTCTGTATATCAAATAAGTAATCATTTTGCCACAGAACTTTTTGATCGTCTTCCGTCTCATAATAAGGTTATTATAAAGACAGCCGAGTACTTTATATCATTATTAGACTCAGGACTGCATGATTATATACATACCATATACATCCTTAAGGTTTCATAAATAATAAATCACATTCTGTACATAATTTGGACCTTTTTGGCACGGACTTTGACAATAATTTCTGAACGGAGAAAAATATGACAATGGTGAATAAGTCGAACGGCCGCTTGAATTTAGGACAATATCATAGATGATTTGTTTGATAAATGCACACTAATAATTTTCATGCTAATTCATGGTAGGATAGTTTTCAAAGTTTCTTTATTTTCATTTATTTGCCCACTTATAACAGTAATAAATCACCATTGATATCAGAGCATAACACACTTTATCATTACTTGACCAAATTTATTAAAAACTATGAATTATGTCCCCGTACTCTAAAGAAAGTAATTGTCCAACACCATTTAGTTTCGAACAGTTTTGTAACCTTTATTTAATGTATCAACACAGTCAAATTATCATAAATATTCACTACTTTTCTAAGTTTAATCCTCAGGTAATAAAAAGCTAATTTACACGTAAATTGCTTAGTACATTATGAATTAATGTGAATATTATATACTTATATCACAAGTATGCTCATCTAAATGCATCTTCAGTATAAATTAAACTGTTCAATTTAATAATGATATTATGGTCTTTATTAAATAAATAAAAAATTGAAGAGTTTTTCAAGCTATATATGTTTTCACTATTATACTCAAAAAGTATGTTCTACTTTACAATTTTCCTTTTTTTTCTTTTACATTTTGTTTCTTAGGTGATCCACTTTTGTATCATGGTAGTCATATTATTACAATTTGTAATCCAACAGATCCATTTTGCAATTCACAATTATTAGCTAAACTACGTATTGCGAATGGTTTGAAAAAAATACTTGTTCTAGCTACAGTTAGTAATATTGAAATGTTTACTAGAAAATTCACAGTTCAAAGAATAAAACATTGTGAAATTAAGAATGATAATGACGATGATGATAATGATGGTATTGTTGTAGATCCCCCAGTTATTGTCAGTGAACACTCGAAATTATCTGTACAATCAATAGAAATTACGTCCAATGAAAGTACCCATAGTAATTGTAACAGTAGCACTAATAAAATACAGCCTAATGTGATTTACTTATCCCTTCAGTATATGTCTTCACACTCTAGTAATCCAACATTTTCAAAATCATTATGATGTATAATAAAAATTGTTGTTTCCCTTTCTTTCTATTGTTCAGTATATTTTTTGTAAATGAGAATGATTAAAGGAAGACAAATACATATTTTCGTAAAATTTTCTGTTCTTTTAATTTGTTTTTTTTTTGTGTCATGCTTGGATGATATTTTAATTTGTGCTTCATGTATTTAGAATATCTAGTTGAATACTCTCAAAAACGTAAATTCAGAAAATTATATCTATCTGTAATTGCATCGTGATTGTAGTTCGATGTTACTTATTTACCAAGTTCTTGTTGATGTATTTGGCTTTTAAGGATACATTTTGTGGAGGCTAGTAGTTCTACTTGCCGATGGTCCAAACCGAAGTAGATGAAATGGATCTGCCAGTTGAAGACTGAGTGCTGCAGTCGCTAAACTACCACTTCAATACGCGGTAATTACAATCGTCCATAAAATATGTTTGATATAGGATGACTAACTATATTGAAAACCAATAAGAAACTTCCTATTCACAAGCTGTTAATAATCGATCACAAATGTGTCGGAAACAGCTCACGTATGTCAGGACCAGCAAGTAAGTAGTCCTGAGGTTGGAGTGGGGTTATAGTTCCCAATAAACACAGTAATTTGTCTGATAAGATTGTGAAATTTTGTTGACTGAGTTTAGGGAAATATATGTAGTGCATACCTGGCCAAAAGCTATTCTGACTTGCTGTTCTGGTGAGCATATGTTTGGTTTTGAGGAATGCTAGAATGGGACATCACATCAAATCGATAACTACAGAACTGATCCTTGTTGGAAACTATAAGTTCATTATAGTCATAATCTGATGTTGGATACCATTGGATGACCTATCTCCGATATAGATATATATATATACATATATATATACGCGAAAAATTACTTCCTAAAATATTCATTTTCCCATTTATTTAGAACATTTTATTATTCATGGTTTCAGATTACTTGCGTTGCGTGATGCTTTTTTCAACCATTGTTTATCCCGAAATGCAGTGTTGTGTAGATGACAACTAGTAATCAGGAAATCAACAAACCTAGTCAGTTCATGAAGTCATTAACTGTTGGTTCGACTCTTATGAAGATGTTCTGACTACAGACCTAGTTTTGTTCCGTGAGATAATTGTGACCAACGATCGAAAGCATAAGATGAGGCGGCATGGGTTAATTAAAGTGGCGTAGATTCATCCTGTATTATCCCGTTTTTCTATATTCTCTACACGTACTCTTCTATAATATCCTGTATACTACTACCATTCAAAATTGTTTACTATTCACTCGGTTTTTGTCTGTTTGTACTCGTATAGCATAGCAGCTTGAGTGGATACATCTTTAAACCAGGTCTTATGTCGATTATGACTGGCTGATATATCTGGTTATAAATTTTTGTCACATTGAACATAATACTTTATTATTCAACTGCAACCAAGTACAAAAAGTTGTAACCATCCGGCCAAAAATATAGCTTAGATAACATGAAGATAGATTAGTAGAGTCAGCCAATGCACGTTTTAAAATACTGAGAAAACAGACAACAGATGTTATACTTTAAGTTTTGTGTAGCTAGTTGAGTTTACGCACAAGTCAATTGATTCCCATTAATCTAGTTAATTAATGTATGTATTAAGCTAGTTATGTGGTTACTCTCACCCTCATGTTTCATAATTTCCAAAACGCTAATGGAATTTAATTAATCAAGTCACACACAGTATGAAACGCACGTCCTGGATTCTACTGCCGGCCCCTATCTTACTCTGTCTAAAATGAATTGATTTTAGTTGCAAATGTAAATCTCAGAACCTGTCTCATTGATCACTCACTCGTTGAAACGTCTTAGGGTTTTATGTTTGGTCTCTGTTAGGCTTGTGAGTACCACCTGGTGATTATGGTAATCTCAATCTAAAACATGACGTTTGCCTGTCGCTCCCTGCTTTTCAATGGTATCACGATGGATGTTAACCTATTATAAAAGCTGTCTTACGAATCTTTTTCTATCATTTAATGTTATTTCACTCAAACTATGAAATATATTATGAAATTAATAAATTTTCTTTTGTCTGTAAATAGTTTTGGCATATTTACCTTTATTCTCTAGGTTTTAAGTCCTTTTGATCAAATGAAAATACTTTCTTATCACTAGTTGGAGAAAAATGGATGAACAAGAAGAAACTTGGTATATGGATGACTATGAAGAAGAACTACTTGAGGAGATAGACGAGGAAGAAGGAGACAATGATCTGTCGGGAAACTATTTAGATAATCTAGAAACTATTGAAGGGGATGATGATTATGAAGATGTTTTATTCGAGAATGCATTATCCATAAAGTCTATATCGTCAGAAATATTATCATGCACTACACCAGTTTTGAAACAAGCCTATTGGTTACTGATTTTGATACTTGTTTCATGTCTTCTATGGCGTATCGTACAATTTGTACTGAACAAATGTTTCCCTTCAAACGGTATGTGTGATTTATATATTTATTTATAATAAATTTGCGAATTCGGATTTCAGTGCCCTGAGATCTGACTCCAGTTCGATCGTATAATTACCGTTATCGACTTATATATGTCACCAATCCTCGTATATAATCATCGACTTAAATCGCGTTAGTGGATAACGGAATTAAATAACACCAATCCAAGAATGGATTTTGAATACGTTTATTTTGTACAATCGTTGGTCGAAAAGAGAAGCAAAACAAAATGACGTGCGTTGGTGAAAGCGAGTGGGCCAACTCGATTTAATCAAGAGTGACTCGACATTTATAGTCAGACGAAAATAAGTTACAGAAATATGATGAGTAAGATAAGAAATGTACACACATACGCTTACTTAAAAACAGTCAAGGTTGACAAGCGAGTAATTGACAAGGTCAAAATGTGATTCAAAAGAATGAATAAACTGGTCTGTCAGTTTGTGCTGATGCTGTCGTTCAGAAAAACAATGAAAGCTTCTCGACCAAACCATCCAGCTCAGAGAACAAAACTTCACCGAAAGCTAGAACAAGCTGTGTAGCCTTAACATAGCAACCGATATTACAAGCTTAGTGACTCAGTATGTATTATTATGATTAGCATTAAAAAATGTTTTTTTCAAGAATTTCATATAACGTAGTCATTTAAAAATTTTTAAGTAGGGCACAAATAACAAGGTCGATTAAAAGGAATAAATTTGAAGGCTTCTCATTCAGTTTCAAGCAGTTTAACGTTATCAAAAGTTATGTGATCAGAAACAAAGGATTGCTGTAATTTAATTAGTGAAGTTGAAATAAGTATTAAGTATGTAGTCGAAAGTCATAATATGTGGAAGTAGACAAGCATATAACAGTAAACTTAACTAAGATTGATATTTACTTATAATGTTGATAAAAACCAATAAAAATTATAGTGTAATATCTTATTATTATTACTACCACTTTTGAGCCGTATCGCCCAACTTTTTCAACCAATGATTGTAGTTATCACGCGGAACTCAACTGTACTTTGACTATCATTGTTGATAACTCTGTTTTTTTTTGTATATTCCTATTGTGTATTTTTTAAATAGGGAAAATTTGCCGCACATTTGTCACAATAATCCTCCATATATTTTCCATTTGTCTTGGTAAGTACTTCCTTTATCGATCCTATTGAGAGTTTACATTTGAACATTACATACTTTAAATAATCTTAAAGTTATTAGTAATTGTTATTTTGAAAATGTTTACATTTTCTATATTTTCTGAACATTTCTTTTCAATTAACTATCAGATGTTATGTACTGTTTTACATCCTCTTATGTATTATATCATTTATCCATGTTATTAACTAAGCGAAAAATACAGTATATAGTAGTGTATTTTATGATACAGTCTTCTGTTGCAAGTTCAAAAATTTCCAGCAACTTACACTAACTGAGGTTTGTATTGAATAATGAAAACTACTTAGTTAACTTACCTCACTCTCTTGATTTTTGTCCGAATTGAAACTTTTAAAAAACTGTGAACTACTCTAAAAGTTAACGATCGGAGTATGGTCAAAGCTCGTAAAGCACTTAGAACATACAGTTTAACCAGTTGATTCAAGGGTTAATAACTTGGAAGTCATTTGTTATAATCACTCTGTCCTACAGGTTTTCTGTCAATTTCTAGCTTTAATTATCAATTGTAAGTAGACCTTTTGGTTACTGTTTTCCAATAATTACTTTAAGTTTATCCTAAGATAAAACTCTTTTATATTCAGCATTATATCATTCTTTTTTTGAGAAAAATCCCATAAATCATTCAGTCATATTATTAGACAGCGATACATAACTTGTATACTTCATGTTGGAGCGTTAGCCTAATAATAAAGAAAGTATAAATTGAAACTCGGCTCTACTTTCTACAATCATGACAATCAACATATTGAATCATACGAGGCTAAAACCGATGTTTAATAAACATTTACATTATAAATGAGAATTACATTACAAATAAACTATCTATAACTCATTTGTTAATAATAAATAATATCTACTCTTAAAACTGTTGATAATTTCTGAAAGATATTGTAGGTAATCCTTTTGACCAATTTGAATGATCCAATCAGAAAATGAAATTTGATAAAAGCATATAATATTATTACCACATTGCCTGCTGAATAATTTCATTACATATTAACTTTGCAATACATTAATACATGGGAGACAAATGACAGCATAAAACGTAAATAATAAGGAGAAAAATAGTGTAAACTATACCATTCTATGTATTAAAATAGTAGTGTCTGAGTACATTTAGTGTGTGTACAGATTATTTTTAAACAAACAAGAGGATAGCTTGAACTTTCATTTAGCTAAGGTTTCATTAAACTTGAATATTCTCCCTAAGTAACTGATAAGCAAAACTGAAAAGCCGAATTAAAATCATTTGTATAACCTATTTCAATTATGCGTTTGACAATGAATAAAGGAGGGTGTTTGTCATTTCCTCTTATTGATCTATTTGACTTCCTTTGTTTTTTGTTATCATTTCAGTACATTTTTAATAGCCTGTAACTTACAGATCACATTTGCTTCTTCCAAAACAGGTGTAAGTAAGTAAGTAATATTTGGTAAACACAGAGATATGATGCAATCGTGTACGCGCATCTGATAAACTTCTTCTTCTCATTTCACTATTTAAATTTATCTAGTTTTTAGTGATAGAATTCTGAATAATGTCAGAGCTAATATAAAAATTTTATTTTATTTCATTTGATTAGGTTTATTAGTTTTATATTATGCTTCATATGATCTGTGGTGGATTGTTATTGGCCTTATAATTATCTTAACACTATTATTTACCTTAAATATTAACTCTGATATTTCTAATTCACATGGGAAATATACTAATTGGGAATTATTTGTAACAATTGGAATTTGTTCATCTGTTCAGTTATACTGGTAATTAATTAAAATTGTTGCTTGTTTATTTCTCTATTTTTATAATAATTGATATACTACGTTTGATTATTAAATTTGACTATCTCTGTAGTTTGTGACTAAATTTTTTCCAATATTAGATTCGTTACCATTGATGCTTTTTCGAAAAGCTAGTAATTAGTGTAGACTTCCGAATTTTGTAGTTTACATCGTATATTGACCTTATTTGAGCAACCATTCAAATATAATGAAAAAACTGGACAGTGGTTTTGTCTTTGTATGAGACTCCTCAACAGTGTGCATCTGAGACCCCGTCGGGAATCAAACTCAGGACCTTCCGGTCTGAAAACATCTAAGCATGTAATATAGTACTTATGGATAAAATTCAAGCTGATTAATTGTTCCCTCTAAATATGGCAATTTGTACAAGTTCTGATGAACTGATATAATTTGTTATAGTTTGAAACCCTCATTTAAACAGCTGATAAGTCCAATTGTTCAATTTTCGAATTCTAGCCACTTCGTGAGGGTGGAGAAAGCCAGAAAATTTAAAGTCAAGGTCTAAATTTGAAGTCTTCAAAAAAGGGGAGGTGCTATGATGGGGTAAAAGGTCAAAATTAAATTGATTTTTATTCAACATTAATTCCGTTTAATTCAATTTGATGATCATTCAGTATAGTATTTGTTCCGTTCGCAGACTAGGTGAACTCGTAATCGCTTCAAACATAACAATTTGATTGATTATATCTGTTACCAGTTAATGTAGCAAATATGTAATTGTACTTGTGAACTGATTTATCACTAATTATTCCATAGTCTTCACTTAGTCTTTCGAGATTAAGTTATGTTTGCGGTTCATAGATGAAGAATTTAAAGTATTGTGATACCTAGTGATGATTATAATTTGAAGTGAAAGAATTTGTTATATCTAGACTTGAGTTTTTGCTATATCACGTACGACTTGAGCACTTGAACGCTTAAACTCCCGAAGTCTCAAGTTAGAAGACAGAAGACGAATGAAAAGGTATCTTTATCCAGCCGGTATCAAATATGATACAGAATACTCGGGTATTTTTAGTTTTTAGTAAAAACGAAATCATCATTACAATCATCCAATCCACAGGCAGTGGTGTTTAGCATTTGTCCAATCGGGAAGCTACGCGCCGAGATTCTGGTTTGTTCTTCAAACGATTATTGTATGGAATGTCTTCGGCTTTTTCAGAGCTTTCTTGAGTCCACCAAGAGCTGTCTTCACATTATTACTCTACACTAAGTAGATTATTAGTGGACCGTTTAATCGCTCTTTCCGAGTCTTCAATATTGTTCACCTAGAATGTATCACATGACCGAATCAAATACCTTTAAATCAATTAATACTTCGAGTCGGTATATTATTGCTTACATTATTGACTGTAGTCAATTTCCAGTATCAATCTTCACTCCACAGTGCATATAATTTTACACTTTCTATGTTACCTAAATACACTCGTGGCTCTGATTCTTAGTATGATTTTAAATGGTTACTGTTTAAGAGTGTGGAGATATTACGTCCCTTTTGGTTACCAAAGATTCTTCAACTGATATAAACCCATAAAGTAAAACATTTCATATGTTAAATGTCTCAACGCAATTACATCTGTATATGCTTGTTACATACCTCATATCTTACAATTAGGAATAAAGTTAATGACATTATCAAGAGTATAGATTACATTTAAATGTATTTTGATTTTCATTTCTTAGAGATTTTGTTTTTAACAAAACAAAAATCAATTTTCCCTTGATCATTTGATTTCATTATTCATCTCTTCCGGCCCATCTTCTTAACCACGTTTATATATTTTTTTTATTTAGCGAGTTTAACAAAAATCCTGTTAAATGGCATCAAATTCGTGGTATGTTATCTAATTTCATGTCGACTTGATGAATTCTGTTACATTTTTTATTATTAGTTAATGCTTGGTCAGATGTCTTTAGCATTTTGTTGATTCCATTATATTCTATGGACTAGATTATTCAACTGTAAATCTTTTGTTATTAATCTGGTCAACATCATTAGTGGCTGTTTTACATTAAAATGAACATAAGTAGTACCATGGTTTGATTTGATAATTTCGAATAAATTGAGCATTGGGTTGATTGTTATAAATAAAAATAATATATTTGTAATATCCCAATGAGTAGAAAATTGGATTTTCTGACGTTTCGTGGCTTAGTGTAAGTCACTTCTTCAGAGAATAAATAACCAAATTAAAATTAATCCAAGTTTAAATAGTACTATTTAAACTTGGATTAATTTTAATTTGGTTATTTATTCTCTGAAGAAGTGACTTACACTAAGCCACGAAACGTCAGAAAATCCAATTTTCTACTCATTGGGATATTACAAATATATTATTTTTATTTATAAGTAGTACCAGATCATTCTGTTTTTTATGGCTATTATTTATTGTTTAACCTCTTAAAAGCTTGTTGTCTGCATGCACGTTTGTATTCTTCTTGACTGTGATTTTGATAGGTTAACCTCTAACTGTTCGGTTAAAATTGACCTCATCCTCATTGAATACCAGATTGAATTTATTTTGGTGTATTTTTAACTGTAAATATACCTGAGTGTCGGACCTGTCCCTAGTTATCTACTTACGTTCACATAGTTATTTTTACTAAGCTGAAAGGTAGGTGTGCGCACCCTGTGCAATGTAGCCCTTCTCTTTGTTGATGTAATTTATCCAGTAAATTATGTTTCACTTGTCTTATTTAGCCATCACTTCTTTTTGGTCAGCATAAAATTCAATCAAGTGGTCATATTGCTTTGTGAACATCATTAATTCTCAAAACCTTAGTAATACTGGCATTGATTGTTTTAAAAAGTTTCCTGACATATACCATATGATTAGTCGTTTTCAAGCTTTTGTGAATTACTTTGATAGAAACACATGATGATGGCAATTGTATTTCAGGATACAAATAGAATATCGTTTTCTTCCATTTCTGTAAAGTAAAAGTACTAGAAATGACTGTTGTTCCTTTACAATCATGTCTCTTTAAATTTTTCTGTTAGATTTTCATTGTTTGACTTGACCTCATGTGTATTTTTTTCATTCTAGACATTCCTATATAACATCATCGGATTCCGGCTCAGTGGCCTGGAGGTTAAGCGTTCGCGCGCGAGACCGAAGGTTCTGAGTTCGAGTCCTGCATGCAGGATCGAAAATGCGCACTGCTGAGGAGTCTCATAATAGAACGAAACAGCAGTTCAGTGCCTCCACGTTTTCACTTATGATCCAACATTGACCCATTCATGATATCAATTTAAATTTCTATATCAGTTTTATAAAACAAAATCTCCAAGAATAAAATCTTATAGTTTGGTACTTCTTTAAAATCTCAACTTTTGTTTTAACGTAGATGCTGATAATTTCTGGATTGACTATTATATCCTTAGAATGTAATTACTCAGCACAGCGATTGCTGTACCCTCCCTGATTTAAAGCTCTCTCCATTATCATGACAATGCTCAATTAGAATTTAAAAGAATTCTTATTTTTTCATTGAAATTTCTGTGAATGAATGTAAGATAGGAATACACAAAAATAGGCAAAGCTGAAGTGATATGGCTAAATAAAATCAATATTCGGAGGTCATAAGTGAAGTAGTTCAATAGTGATGAACGCATGTTAGCAAATTCAATTTTTTTATAGTAAATAAACAATTGAAGCTTTTGATTGTATTCATGTATTCATTCATCGTTAATTTATCCAGGCCAATTATTTTTTATCAATATATTGTTTTAAGATTTGATTGTTTGAACTAAGGAGCTGTTATATTATATTTGATTTTGGACTCGTCCCTATAAAATATGGAATGTATTTCAATGCACTTATCGTATTTTTCTCAAAATATCAACTTCATTGAATGGCTGTTTTACTGTAAGCGGTGTGTAAATTTATGATGCTTTCGAGATAAAATCATGGACCATCAGGTCTCACTGTTCACATATCAACTTACTTACTTACGCCTGCTACTCTTAATGGAGCATAGGCCTCAGACCAACATTCTCCAACCCACTCTGTCCTGTGCCTTCTTTTCTAGTTCCATCCAATTCTTGTTCATTTTTCTCATGTCTATTTACATTTAACGGCGTAATGTGTTCTTTGGTCTTCCTCTTTTCCTTTTGCCTTGAGGATTCCATGTGAGGTCTTGTCTTGTAACGCAGTTGGGTGCTTTCCTCAATGTGTGCCCTATCCACTTCCAGCGCTTCTTCCTAATTTCTTCCTCCGCTGGGATCTGGTTTGTTCTCTCCCACAGTACGTTGTTGCTAATAGTGTCTGGCCAACGGATCCGAAGTATTTTGCGTAGACAACTGTTAATAAACACCTGTATCTTCTGGATGATGGCCTTCGTAGTTCTCCAGGTTTCTGCCCCATACAGTAGAACTGTCTTGACATTTGTATTGAAAATCCTGATCTTGGTGTTGGTTGACAGTTGCTTTGAGTTCCAGATGCTCTTCAGTTATAAATATGCTGCTCTTGCTTTGTCGATCCGCGCCTTCACATCTGCATCAGTTCCACCCTGTTCATCAATGATGCTGCCCAGATATGTAAAGGTTTTTACATCTTCCAAATCTTGTCCGTCAATTGTGACTGGATTGGTGCATGCTGTGTCGTATTGGAGAGTTTTGCTTTTCCCTTTGTGCATGTGGAGACCTATTGCTGCTGAGGCTGCTGCTACACTGGTTCACATATCAACACTTAGTTTAAATTCAATAATTTCTATGCTTCGAACTTCAATTAATTCTCAGCATAGCTCACCCATCATCTTACATTCGCAGGATTTTCGAATTTTATTGATCAGAGCTTCTCACCAGAATTCTGCTAATCTTCCTCGTCATCAATCACAAATAAGCCCATATTCACCATTAATATGGAGATTATTTAATGTGATGTTAATTTTCGTCAAGATATCAATCATAAATCTCTTTAAAAAGTTTAAACAGGAATAATTCCTGTTTTACTAAACATTGTATTTAAAAATATCATCTAACTTAATCTGTTGTTACATTCAGAACTAATGATACTTTATATATGTCTCTTAATAATTTACTACTAATTTTTTATACTACTGTCTTGTGACTTTTTGGTTTATAGGTAGTATAATGATAATTATTATGAAATGTATATCTTTTTCTATGGAAAATAAAAATTTTTATAAAATGATCAATAAAGAGCCTTGCTGCATATTACTGTGGACACCATTATATCGTGGATTACTTTGGTTATCTTATTGTCTGTGTCCAGCTAGTTTATTGTTTGGTCCATGGTTTAATCCGTTAAGATATGAAGAAATGATTAGAAACTATGCTGTTAATGATAGACCTTTTTCTTTAAAAAATGTAAGTTATAAACAATTGAATATCAAGATTATTGGGCCTTGAATGTGGCTGATCGTTACATTGTGAAATGTGCGGATTTAAAACTTGTTGAAATAATTTGTGCTTCAATGTATTAACTTTAGTTCATAATCGTTCATAGTTAAAGTACATCAGTAATTAAAAAGAGATTTCTGAATTGAGATTTAAGTTTTATTCTTGAGTATGGTGTGAAAACACAATGATTGTTATTTTTTCGCACTAAATATGTCTCTATTTGTAATGAATTTGTTGATTCCTTCTGTTTTTAAATATGTTTGACTAATAATATTTTTCAGTTTATATATTTCTATTTGATATTCCAGTAGATATGATGTGAACTGTTTAGTTAAACTGATATTTTATAAATTTGTGTTAAAAGTAAGATATACGTGAATACATTCAGAATTAGATCGTTTCTGAAGATAATTGTCATCTACAACCAATATTGATTGGGAAAACCATAGAAAGATAACCAGCCATTTCATTTTAGCTTTGAAGATTTCTTAAGTAGTAACTACGAGATAAACAAATACATGATAGACTGGTTTGTAGTCAGTTGGTTATTGATAATCAACTTACAGCCTGGGATATATATGCGTCCATCCAAGTTACCATACAACATTAACGGGCGAAAATGAATATCAAAAGATTTCTAAATGGTATATATATATATCCTTAGGAACAAGCATTAAGAATAGGGTTCTAAAAGACAGTGGAAAAGTATGTACTAAAGAATATTTGAACTCAGTATCTAGAAGATAAAGAATAAATACATCTGCTCTATTGTAACGTCTTCAACCACTGATCTCAGGTATCATACGGATCTCAATCAGTCTGAACCTAGGGAAATTTCTCAGGCTAATAGTTAGTGGCCTCATGTATTAATGCCACGTTTTTTGGCTTATCTGCTCCTTGCTTGCTTTGATATCAGTCTGTAAGGAACTAAATATTCATTGCGTAAGCTTCATATATCTCATAATCTTAGTAATGGTTGCGTGTATTCAGTATTAACTAAAATTGAAGTGAATTTTTAAAAATTTCAATGTGAAACAGTAATTAATTAAATTACTTGGTTACATAATTAAGTATCGTCGATAAAAATTATAGAAATCATCTCAGCATATCATAAACTAACGTTAAAAATGCTAACTGTTAAATTTCAAACTCAGGGGTTTAAATGCATCACGATCACGTTAAATAGTTACAAGTAGTTGACAAACCACCCGTATTACTTGGCATTCGTCAACAGTACTTACCTTTATTCCTACAACACACTCATCCTTCATGGCTTCAGTGTGCTTGATTCATGTATAGTTGTATAGCTGTGGATCAAGAGTGTAAAAAAGCATCAATACTCTTTGGTTTTCGATGACTCTTTAATTGAAATATCAGTTCGTACTGCAATGTCGTTATCTTAAGTATTTTATTCAGTAACTTTTATATTTTATCAATAAATATAATTCCTACATATCTAAAGTTGCAATGTTGCTAATTGCTAAGAAAATGTAACAAAATTTAACTTGATTTGTAACATATCATAAAATAGATTTTTCTAAACCTTTTATTCCACTAACAATGGTATACAGTTGCGCAATTTCGTGGATTAGTTGAAGCTAGGCATTAACACCGTTGGATGTCGGTTCAGTGGTCTAATAGTTAAGCTTTCGCGCTCGAGACCGGTAGGTCCTGAGTTCGAATTTCGCGGGGGCTGGACCGTGGATGCGTACTGTTGAGGAATCCCATACTAGGACGAAGCGGCCGTCTAGTGCCTCCAGTTTTTCCATGGTGGTCTAGCTTCAATTGACTCATGATTTCAATTAGTGAAATAACAATACATTCACCAAAATATGATTATTTTCATTTATGTAACTTAGGGTCACAAAACATAACACCTTTTTTATACTTTGTGTTACTATTCTATAAAGTAACATTGAAAAATCTTTGCTTATAAAAGAAAAGTAACACTTACAATTGTATACTACTTGAAATACAATTTCATTTTGATTATAATCTTTTTTAGATCTGTGCAAATGAAAACATGCTTTTATTCAAATTTTCCTTTTGAAATATTCGTTGTTCTTATTGTTACTGTTTTCTTTTTCTGACAGACTATAATTTCACTTTTTCAAACAGTTAAATTATTTGGGCTATCTTTGTTATATTTAACTTATTCGACTTGTTTCTCTCATACACTGGCTTCGATATTGAAATTTCAACCGTAAGTTTATGATTCCTAATCTTTTGGGTGTAAATTTTTTTTTAAAAGGTCAATACACGGATATGGTTGTACCGTGTATTCGGTTTTCTTTTTCAAATAAGTGGTCTAATTGTTAGGTCAGTGAACTCGTAAGTATTTGGTAGCGGATTCGAACTCAACCCTCGCATTTAAGCATATGGATAGCATAACTACTTATCCTTACATTAAAGTGTAACTTATCACTGACTTAACTTTAGATTGCTACGTTTGAATCAGTAATATTGATTCTTCGACTGAATGTTCTGATATGCTTGAAGGTTGGCACAGGTATTCAGTGTTTGACAACGCTTCTACCAGTAACACCTTCTAATATAATTCGTAACCACCCAGAGAAATCAAAAGACATAGTCGAGGAGATCGGAAAAGTGTATTTGGCGGTAACCAATATATCGGTATTCTCTGATCTAATCTGGTTAGTGATTGCGGTAGATGTTGAGCACGGCGTTGCCACACGTGATCTGGTGCGGATGCCTGCCCGAGCGCCTTCAGCTAGATGAGTCCACTAAAACATATGGTCAGCATCCAATGTCGAAAACTTAGAGAGCTATTTATTTTGGGGATTTATTTACCGCTACATGCTAAAGGTTATTAACTTGTACAAAATACCTGTCCTGAAGACCAAATTAGAACTCGAGAATAACAGCTAATGTAACCCGTATATCTCTGACTGGAAAACTCACATGGTTATATACATGGATTACAGAACCATGATGCATCATAAACAAGAGATTGTAACGTGTGCCTAACTTAGACAAAAAACCGTGATGATGATGTTTAGTAATAACTCAGGTTAATTTGGGAACAGAAAAAGATTTAACAATAGTTAGTAGGCCAAATGAAAGCATACGAATATGAACACATAAAATTCACTCAACTAAAGCCCTTAATAACTACATTTTATATATAAAAATACTAATCTACCCAGAAAAAATTACTTCTAACGTTTGTCATTTTCATTTATTCATCTCGTTTTAACCATTACTAACTACTTAAACTGTCAATGTTTGGTCAGTTATTTACATTTAATGGGAAGTGTTCAGTATTATTATGAATCTCCTTAAGATTGTTTGTTCACAAACTAATATCTGATTAAACTGAAAACTGTATATGTTTACTTACCTTCAGAATAATTTAACTTACTGTTATTATTGAAGTTTTGTTTTATTGTTAAAAAATTTCCTTGTTTGATAATGAAGCCATACTTTGTGCAAATAGAATTGTTCATTAAAATCATATCTTTTTCTTCATTATTTTTTTCCTCTTAGTTGGCTCCATGCTTATTTTGCATCACAAAGTTTCCGTTTCAGTCATTATTTCGTATGTATATCAAGTGAATCGTCCATGACAGCTTTAGGATATTATGATAAATATTCAATAAAATCAAACAAACAAGAAAATACTGAGAAGAAAGACAATTCAAAAGTTGTATACAAGTAAGTTTAATGTTTGCTTTCTTTAATCGATAGTCAATTCATTGACATATTGTTTCTTTGTTTTTTAATATTTATCTGGTCTATTGAACACCTTAAAATTGTGATGGGACAAAAATTTGCATGAAACGTTGAATTATCTCATCTATCGCTATCAATAATAAATTGTTTCGTAATCCATGTTATTAATACAGTCTCCAAAATCATTCATAAGATTCTCATTAATAGACTGATATTTGAACGAAGAATATTCTATTCGATAAATTCTCTTCAGGTTCTACAATTATATATCCAAATTAATAATCCGAAAAATGGACGGATTAAGAGCAAAGTACACCGGTTAAAGCATGTCAACTTAGGATTGTGTTAAACAAAATACGATAAAATTGTTAATGTTGATATGACTCATATAGATATGTTAACTTAAATCTGCGTATATGTTAAGTGAAATTTTGAGATCCATGATCAGAATATATATGGGTCAAATAGGGTGAAAGAGTTATGAAAGTTCTTTAATACTTTTTAGTATCGGTTTGTGAATACTATTTTTTTAAATAAATACGACTTGGAAACTAACTAATACACAGCTTGTTACTTATTATGGATTTACTTCTCAGTATTATATCTTTCTTTACCGATTATAAACTGTGATCTGTAGAGGAAACCGAATTTCGAATCATCAATTATAACACGGTATAAGTATATAACTGAGGTTTATAAATACCGATCATTAACTACTGATACAGTAATGAGTCGCTTACGAGGTTGTGAAGTTCACTGTCCTATCTCAGAATGCACACTGATAAAAATCTTGAGATCGACGTGAAGAAAACGATAAATCTTGCTCAGTTTCCAACTAGTTTAACCGGATATTCAAACTAGTTATGTCTTGTAAATCTTAAATTGAATGTTACTCACTAGTCGATTATACTTCATTTGTATAATCTCTCCTACTTAAAAAGGTTAATCATACACTTCCTGTGTGTAATAAATCTACGCTACAGCAACATAATAATTGTTTAATTCCTTGAAATTCTGTTTATTAAGTTACACAAACCAACATGTTCCGTCGCGAATGAAATACTAGTCGAATTAAATATAAAATGATCCTTAATTTATAAGGTTCTATACAACTTTTATTTTAAAATAATATCTAATCAGATAAGTACAGGTTCGTTGCATTTTCACTCTTTCATCTTTTTACCAGACCTATTGTGGTGACTCGTCCATTGTTCATTGAACTTCCTCGATCGTTAGTGGAAGTTGTTATTTACTGGAATTTGCCAATGCATACTTGGTTAAAACAATGTAAGCCATGATTATTTAATCTTTTATTTGATAATGAAATATTTTTATTTCAAACTATGAAATAACATGTAATGTTTTGACTAGTGTCTAATAGTGTTCTCCAGGATGTGCATTTTATTGAATTCAAGTGTTAATTAGAACGTATGGTCATTTTGTAAACATAACGTAGTACTAGTAAGTTAACTGCAACAATAAAGCATTTCAGACTAATTGCTACACTCAAATGTCTTATGTATCTGCATGTTTACATTTCATACTAAGTGGAAAATACGGACATCTTTGATAGTTTGTAGATAACTTAATGTGTTTAAATTTACATGTTTCAAACAAAAACAATACTTACTTACGCTTGTTCCCTTGTGGATGAGCATAGGCCGCCCATCAGCATCCTTCATCGAACTCTGTTACTCTCTAGTTGCTGCTCATCCTTTTGATGTCTGCTTCGATTCTCGACAAAATGTATTCATCAATCTTCCACTTTACTGTTTCCCTTCAGGATTACAAGTTAGCACTTACCTCGTGATGCAGTTCGATTATTTCCTTAATGTGTGTCTTATCCACTTTCAGTGTCTTCTACTAATTCCCTCTTCATTCGGAATCTGGTCTGTTCTTTCCCACAGTGGGCTGTTGCTGATGGCATCCGGCCAACGGACATTACGTATCTTGAGTAGACAACTGTTTATAAATACTTGTGCCTTTTTGATGATGATTGTGGTAGTGCTTCAAGTTTCATCTTCATACAATAGAACAAACTGTCTTGACGTTCGTATAAAGATTCTGACTTTGATGTTAGTTGACAGTTGTTTTGAGTTCCATATGTAATTCAACTATAGGAATGCTGTCATTGTATTGTCAATCCTTACCTTTGCGTTTGCAAAGGTCCTTCACGTTCATCGATGGTACTGCCCAGATACGTGAAAGTCTCCATCTCTTTCAGAGTTTCTCCTCCAAGTGTGATTGTTTTGGTGTTCTCCATGTTTTATTTCAGGATCTAAAACAATACTTTTAGCTTAACTAGTTGCTTCATCATAAAATTTGTGATATTAAAAACCACACATAGCTCCTCGTGACTTTTCTCCCATATATATATATATATATATATATATATATATATATATATATATATATATATATATATATATATATATATATATATATATATCCATCAGTTTTTGTCCATTCTTTCATCAGTCTTTCATGTAAATTGGCGATCTTTGTCAGTACAAGTTACCGTGTCTGCTCTATTCGTTGTCTTGTCAACAAAATTAACTACTGAATTTAGTTCAGAAAAAAATAATTGAGAATCAATTGTTTCACTGTGTATGCAGACAGCACAAAAGACCACTTTTAGCCATCATATTTCTATTCATGCAACAACAGAGTATAGTAAGAGGAGGGTTATGGAAACACCAAAATCTGGTATCGTTATGTATAATCATTAAGTTGTTTTTCGGTTCAAATACTGTTAGACGACAAACTTCAGTAATATGAAGTACTGGACAGCTCTATTTCGTCATAATTTGAGATGCCTCATTATTGTACACCAACCAACCCATAGGGAATCTAAGGTATGATTTTCAAGTTTTACATTGTATGTGATATCTTTGACCTGCTAAACTGAAACGCAGAAATCCATATTTTCAAACTTAAACAATTCGTGTTTTAACAAGAGACTTCTTATCCAATCTCATCATTATCCATAATGTTAGCTAATCTATTTCAAAATAAAGTTGTTTAGTGAACAATAAGCTTTGTTTATATTGACAATCAAATGTCTTACGATAACTACATTTAACTGAAGGGATTTTATGGAGATCGGTTGAATTTGTAAATTCTATTCGTCACAGATTCCTCCCAGTTGAGATACCATTGAAAACGAGAGAGCATTGGATGCCTATTTTGTTCTAGTATGGACCACTCTGTAGTGCACATCCACGAACCTATTAAGAATTGAACCTAAGAACTTCAAGTCTTAGTACGAATACTTACCAAGTTGCCGCACTATTGAGGACTTCTACACTAGGATAAAATAGCTGTTCAATGCTTAGTAGTTTACTGTGGAACTTTAAATAAGGTATCTTTGGCGAATACATCCTACAGATAAATACGTTTTTTTGAGCTATATCATTTTTTTAAAAATGATTTCTTTAATAATCTGAATGCTAGGATTTTTCCTTCTAATTAGATGTATACAAGCCGTTACGTCCATATGGACATGTGTATGCTATATTGGGAACCTATACAGCTAGTTCATTATTACATGTAAGATGATAAATTTTGTTGTTTTTTATATAAATATTTATTAATTCGACATATCCTTCAAAATAAGAAGTGGAGATCAACTGCTTGATAGAAATTTACTATAACAGAATTGCAAAATGTTTATAGGTGGTTATGTCACTTTCTGATAAAAAAAAAGAACTTTAAACTGGGAACTTTCTAGAAAAGTTCAGTTCACTTTTGAAGGTGAATGCTTTCGTCAGATTAATAGAGTTGTTATGGGTAGTCCGCTAGGACCATCGCTAGCAGATGTGTTAATGGCACATGTTGAAAATCAGACTGATGAACTAATCGGAAACATGTCACTTTATAAGAGATATGTGGACGATATCTTAGTTGTTTGTGAGAGAAAAGAGGATATGTACCGTTTATTAAATAAACTTAACACTCTCCAAAACCATATTAGTCTCTCATGTGAAGAGGAGAAAAACGATCAGCTTCCCTTCCTAGATATACTTCTGAGTAGACGAGAAGATGGTTCAGTCAAGCGATCTATTTTTAGAAAACCAACGTGGACAGGTCAATATCTTAATTATTATAGTTATTGCCTTGTGCAATACAAACGTGGTTTGATAAGGTGTCTTTTCAACAGACTCGATCGTATTTGTACCAATGACGCCATTGATGATGATGTTAAGTTGTTAAGCAAAACGTTAATAGAAAATGGCCGTCCTCTGAAATTCATAAATAGATGGAAAGTCCATGGTACAGCGAGACATACTGTAGCCTCGGTAGAGAAAAAGCCTGTCTACATCACCTAGGTAGCTTTGAACAGATCATATATACAACCTTAAAATCAAACTATGGATCCGTAGAATGATTACAGTCGACTAGGTTTTCAAGTATAGAACTCCTAACTGCTTTCCTCTCACCCTTGTAGAACCAGACTAGGACGTGTTCCCGTATCCGAGTTGAAAGCCAGCGCCGGTTACGGCCAATGTCCCTTGCTCCACAAGAGCAGGTGAGCTGTTAGATGCACATGAAAACGACCAGACGCGGAAGCTTATTGTATGGTTATATGGTTACTGGGAATACTGTTTTTCGTTTCTGTAATTATTTGTTTTTTGTTTTGTATTTAGTCTTTGTTGTGTTCACATGATGCTTGTTTTTTATTTTGTAAATAAATATTCGATTATTGAAAGGTCGTCGTTTATAGCTAACATTAGCTATTATTCATTGTAAATATTTCAATTTTCTAGGAGGTCAGTCATAGGTGAGATGTTTTTTAAGTATATCACTGACTGACTTGGCGTCCAAATCACATAGCATGTATTGCATGGATTTACTTAATGTTTCTGGAACATAAGTGTCAACTAACTTGAGATTTTATTAAAATGGGACTTCTCATTGATTACTTTCATTTGCCTAATTGAATGTATCATATATATTATTGTTTCATCTGCCCGCGTTTAGGTTAGGTTTTTTTTCAGTAAAATAGGATAGAATATCTGATTTAGTTTGATCTTTAAGCAAGTCAACAAATGTTTCTGTGTATACATGTAATGAATAATTACTGCTCTGTATATTTTAAATTTATATCAATTCAGAGTTTTCAAGAACTTTCTAGGTATTATCTTCGGCGGAATTGAATCGATTTACACTAAATCCCCTGGTACGGCCGACAGTAAAGGGGTCCACTTTCCCTCTCGAAATGCTCTCATATGGCCACGCGTACCCAACAACTGCCAGAGAAGTTCTACTGACCCTCTTCTCGTGGCGGGGGTGTTGATTACGAAATTGAGAGGACGAAAATCGAATGTCCAGCGCTTTAACCTAACTACTGGACACGGAGGGTCCACCTAGAGGAGTTGGAAAACCTTGGTCTCAAACCAATGGTGCACATGAACTCCACGACCCTAAGGGAACAAATGGCGTATGAACCAATTATTGGTCACCGGCTATTATGCGATTTCATTTCCTGAAGTTGCTCCACTGCCTTACGGACCAGACGTTTAAGTCGAAGACTCCGGGTGTGGCTCTCTAAGAAAACCACTTGCTTCGGTCTGAGCACCCAGGCAGTATCACAGCCCACACAAAAATCAAGTGAATTGTGTGGTGCATATGTATTCGATGCTCCTTTGCACCAATATTTATGTGTTCAGATAAATAAATATGAATGTCATAAGACTGTCAGTCAACTACTTTATATATTTCTGGAGAACTTTTTAAATACTTTGATTAACCAAAAAGTTATTTTTCACCGCTATTCAGCTTTGTAGAAGTTTTTTAGAGAACACTTATTGATAACAATATATAACGATCATTTTTATAATTTCACCTTTATTTCTAGGGTTTGAATTTTCAACTTAGCGCTGTTTTATTTTCTATTGGAATCTATGCATATATTGAATATGGTAAGTATGTAAGACACATAGCAACAGTGGTAGATTTCATTCATTTACTTTAATCATTTATCACTTTATTACCAAGCTAATTTTTTAAACGTCAACTGAACAAATCAAACAAACATGATAGATTACACAACAATCAATATCTTTTTACAGTTGAAACAACTGAACAAATATTTGGCTTTATTGTTTAACCTTTCATTAATATCTATGGATTTATGAATTCCAACCTAATGTTTACTTATATAAGTTTCTTTAATTTTGGTGAAAGGAACAGCTCTTTGTAAATTTCTGATAGGCAGACTTGGTTTTGTTTCAACTAGAGTTCCGCGTTTTTTAAAAAAGACCACTCTCAAAAAGAACGTATGTCTATGCAAAAGATTCTTAATTTAACCCATTTTTATGCTAATTGGCTAATAAGTGATATAATGGTTTCAAGGTCAAATTCAAAGTCTCTCAACATCTGTAGTAAACCATATTTTGATCACCTTGTTATTCATCTTTACGATTAACAGTACACACATTATTTAAAGTTATTGTTAGTTACAACAATTGAATTAAACATTCCTATATTCCTTATAGTCTTTCGGGAAAAATTGGCCAAAATTCTAGATGCGTGTATTGCCAGTCGTCCATGTCCTGAATCCTGTTGTCATAGTAACAAGGTAAATGCAAATTTCATAATTTATCTACCTACCTTACATGTACCAGAATATATATATATCCTATGAACGTTTTATCATATGAGCATGTCAAAGTAATGTGTAATTCAGTAAATCTCTATAATCAGGTCTTGATCCTTAAAAATAAATTGGATTTAATTTACGTTTTTAGACTTATGTACACCGATATAACAGTAGAACTGTAAGCTCGACTTCATTTTTTCACCAAAAAAAACCTAAGTAGATGAAAACGTTAAACATGTGCAAATATTCAAAGAGTATTTTATATTTATTTCTGCAAATTTAGAAGTATAACAAAATACTGGAACTTAGGTGTATATTTTGTTTATAAGTTTGTATCTTCTTCTATCGTTGATGATAAGGCCTACAGTAAATTAGTCTTTTTTGATATACATGAATCATGAGTGGATAACCTCGATAGTCCCACTTAACCAAAAGTTTTTTATTAAGTTTGGATAACAGCGAACATAGGAAAGAAATTTATAGTCGTTTTATTTAGCTGATGGTCACTTTGAGTGAGGAGCTCAATGGATAATGCTTCAAAGTTTAAAGCCCAAAATCTAGTAATTAGTATTGTCACACACCTACGCGATTAACTCTAAATTTTGAACGAGTAAATTGTTAATATCTTCCCTTTTATTCTATCACCTATATACTCGGCGTTTTCTATTACTCAGGTGTAACACTGATCATGGTTTGTACTTGTGTGTATGATAGTACATTTTTATCTATCCCGTTCCTGTATTTGTTACATGACTTTTAAAAACTGAGTCACGTTATCAATATTTAAGTCAGTGTATTATCGAACCACAATGCTTTATTTAATCGCTGCATCTTATATAAGCTTTTCTGCTGTGCAACATTAGCCTGTCTGAAACATACACATCTTAAATGCACTTCGCATTTTGCATTCACTAAGATATCCCGTATTCGAATCCTAGTGTGAATATCAACACCAGAATTTTGGTTCATCCAGCTGATAAGCTCCAAGTAGGATTGACTACACATTATGAATTTCATATCTAGTTACTGTCTAATTTTATGAAAAACTTACGACATGTATATGTTCTCTGATGCCTTAGTTAACTGTATATCTTTATGATATATATAGTAAAGTTTATCTGATAAGAAAGTTTTCTATTCAGTTATTGTGCATAGATTCACACTTAATATTTTATTCACTTGATTACAAAAATCAAAAGAATATTATTATTTGTTGGCATATTTATTTCACTTAAATTTTGTACTCATGGTTTCTAGTTGTTTGATGTTTTCTAAGGATGATAATCTCAATTTATTTTGAATTTACATTGATTTATTTAGCATGTTTGGTTTTGGAAGTTTTTCTTATTAAAAGCTTGAAAATTGAAAATGTCGCTAATTTCATCACTTACACAAAGTTTATTCCTCTATCTGATTGTTTTTAGAATTCATTCTGGGTATATTGGTGCAACGTAGCCTTCAGTTGTTTGGCTATATTTCATTTGGCTTATTTAGCTGTAATGTTTGATACGAGTGAACAGCAATTTAAGGTATGATATTAAGCTTTACTTCTAAACCAGTTATATATATATATATATATATATATATATATATATATATATATATATATAGATATAGAGAGAGAGAGAGAGAGAGAGAGAGAGAGAGTTCGCATATGAAATATTCATTTCAAACTAATGATCATTGTGGGAAATTTATCCCTTTTATACTTCAACTATGCTCTCCGCCTCCCCTCCCGCCTTACAATTCGTTATAAATCTTTAATATAAACACTAAGGAACTTTTCAACTCGACGATCTTCATGTTTACTGGATTTACTGGTCTTAATTTTATATTTCTTTGCATTAATTAACCTGTTATTATCTGTAACTTTAATCAAACTCATATAATCCCTGGTAATGTAACATACACTAATCAGCACTGTAGTTGATTATTTGTGATGTTCAACAATCCACTCTTCTATATACAATGTATCTTGGTATTGGATAACTATTTTTATCGCTTAGGATGGGAGAACTCTTGTGATAATTATGTTGGAAATCAAAGTGACTTAATTTTTTCTTTTTAGAGCTGGTAAATTGTTTGAACTTTCACCGGTCTTCAGTAGCAATAAAACCTTAAGGAAACTTATAAATCGTTTACCATGTTATACACAGTTAATATCACTTACTATTGTGTTGTAGTTTTTATTATAAAATCTAACATAATTATGATAAAATCTTTCTGCTTTTAGCTGGTATAATGTTATTCTACGTAACTAATGATTTAAGTCAATAAAAATGAGTGAAACAATATTTATTTTTTCTGAAGACGTCCTCAGAGATTCTGGTAATTATCTATACGAGTTTTCAACCATATATTTCTGTATATGAATATAACACGTCCAACCCTAATACAACTCAAGTTTGAAAGGTGTGAGGTCATAGGTCCCATTGATTTCATTTGTTAAAACAATTGTAATATTCCATTGAAATCATGAACTAGTTGATGTTAGACCACCATTTAAACCTGAAAGTAATCGACGATCGACTTGTCCGAGTATGGGACTCATCAGTAGGGCGCATCCACGATCCTGCACTCTGGACTCAAACCCAGGACCTCCGGTTTCACGCGCGAACACTTGACCCTTAGGTCACTGAACCGGGATCCAACGATGTTAATGCCCTAACTTCAATCAATCCACGATATTGTGTAGCCAGCTCGCATTCATCCAGTGCTTCTAGGTTTTCGATGGTGGTTTAAAATTGATCGGTTCATGATCCTAATGAAACTCAACGATCTCCACAATCGTGTACAAATAATTGTAATATCCATGATATGTTGAAAACTGTTGACTTCTGAATATAATTACGTGTAGTTTATTTATAGCTTGACACAAATGTGCATCGGCTCAAGTTGCCACATCAAATCATCACGATGAAGTGAAAGTAACAAGACGAATGACAAAAGACTTAAAATAATAATTAGGAGGGTCGATCATCATTTGTAATTTTAATAGCAACAATATCTCATCGAATCTATGCTAAAATTATCATATTTTCCATATAAAATCCCTATTGATTTACCTATAGTGTTAAATATTGTTTCCGAATTATAGTCTATTTAAATATTTTTACTGAATTATAATTCACACTACTTATTAATTTCTCATGACTATTTTTTTTCTTTCAACAGGGCTATAATATGTGGCATACTATGGATAAATGGTACAATTTAGGATTTCTCAGTCATATTGTAGCCTTTGCAAATTTCTTATTTTATTTATATTTATAAATAAATATCGAATAAGCTATGTATTTGTTTGTAGAGAATAAAACATTTATCTATCACAACTAAACGTATGCAAAATGTATTTTCTTATCACTCACTCAGCATGTATTTCTTAATCATAATGAAATGAAAGTTTATTTTGCTTTCAAGTATAAACAACAAAGAAAGGTATTATTAACACTGTTGATGAGTTTTGTACATGTACATGATCTCTAATGAATTTAGGTTTTTAAAATCATATAAATTCCTTTCTCTCTGACATTGGTTTAATTAAAGAATTGTTATTTAAATAATGTTCTCAAACTTCTATTCTCAGACTACTATTTGCCTTGGTTTTATTTTTGTTGAGAAGTGTTTTATCGGCTAGTCAAAAATGGAGTCATGTTCATAGGAATTAAATAATATCTTCTAATGTAATAATTATCGATTCAGGAAACTAATTTAGGAAAAAAACTCTGAATAAGGACTAGACAAGCATGACATTGATCACCACCCAGTGATCAATCAATTGTGATTACATCTCAGTCCTACAGGAGGTTAGTCATGGCTCGGATAGCTCAGTGGTAACGTCTCTGACTGTGAAGCTGGGTGACACGAGATCAAATCCGCCGGGGAGCACCAGTTCCCTCAAGATTACAGATACACCTTGCTGACGAGTGCCAAGTAGCACGAAACCCGGGTCCAGGGTTTCCTGTTGACTACCTCCAACCACCATCTAAATCTGCATAACTTTGGAAGTTCAAGCATTATTTCATTATCTCAAAAGTATCCCATTCAGATTATCCAAACAATATCTATATTACTTATTAGTTTCAGTGTGTAAAGGGCTTAAACATCTACCGCTTGCTAGATTTTAAAAGTTTACTAATCTTCGATTCCGAACCGAAAGTTTGAAATGTGGTAGCTGCTTTATCTTTAAACTTAGTTTGCATAAATAATGTAGGGGTATATATAAGGTTAGATATGATCTTGAGACTCTAGGCACCTCTAATAATTAGTATTGAACTCAGAAACTGAGCATTCAGTTTAATAAAAACAGGATCAGTCGTTTTCTAGATTTCTCTTAAAAGTTTTTAAAGACAACTTCTTAGTCAAAGTATTTTTATCACTTGCCTGAATACTGGAGACAGTTTCGAGGAATTATCAAGGTCTCCTAACACTTTTATCACATTTTTCAGTTAACTTTACCATTATCTATTAGCAATATGAATTCTGCTTTGTCCATTTCAATTTGGAAAGTTCTTTAGCTACAGTAGCCTTTACACATTAGTTCAATCGAAGGGATTTGTATATGGCTGTCTTGTACATTTACGAAGTGAATAACTAGATATCTAAAATCACAACAAGAGAACTTACTATTTGTTAACATTGGATAACTAAGTAGTACTTCTATTTTTTAATGATTTGTAATATTGTTTTAACTTGAAATGTCATAGATTACTCGAAGTCATTAGTTCAATATCCTCTAGGAATATCGAACATCCTATACCATCCCATAATGGTTCTCTACATTTATATATCAAGTTGATTGAATAGTCCGGCGTAATTTCAAATTATTTATCTCTCGCTTTACAAAACTTACGCCTTGAACATAGTGATATCAAGTAAAACAATAGGCATCACAATTGTAGGGAAATATAAATTGTTCTTAAAGAGGTTACACTTATATATTCTCCATTTTAGTTCATGTTATACGATATTTTTATCTTTGATATGACAAAATTTCATCCCATAGTAGTTTTGAAAGTGGTCTCTCAGCTACACTCAATCCATTGTAATTATTAATTTGATATAAATAAAATTTAAAGGCTTTCTTCCGTTTTCATTTGTTTTTCTTTGTCTGACCACTAAATGTCATTAGTGTGAGATGTCCTTCGGGGAGTTACTTTCAATCAAATCGTATTTTAATTAACATTTTGATCGGACTGTAATCTTATCTAACAGATATTGAACTAACAAAATATCCAGACATTTTATTATTTGAGAGTTTACTTTTTGCAAGTTGATCATTCATACGCAGAAATTACACGTCAAGGATATGTAAGGAGTCAGTCAGGCACAACATAGAACCTGTACGTATGTACATCAATTCAAGTTGCTATACCCCATTTGCACAGAGAGATGAAATTGTCAGACCAAATTCAAGAATAATAGGGGTAATATCAGTATCATTGGCAAACTAAATTCGGAAAATCCATTTAACCTAGAGAAAGCTATTCATTCTTAGTTAATTAGTTAAAATCCTTTCTTTGATTGTAACGGTAAAACTCTCACTAACTAGTAATTCCATTTAACGATAAAATTATTTTATGCTCTCTCATATATATGCAAAGATACGCTAAACGCTTACTCGTTAAGGTGTAATTACGTCGAAGATTAGTTCTTTTTTCGTTCATTGACAATTTTTCTTAAATAATTCAGAGTACTTACATTGCACTGGGTAGTATACAATGATCTATCACAAGTTAAAGTTGAGGTAAATTTAAATATGATCATCAAATCACTATCTAAAATGCCATTTAAGCAACCAAGTCATTAGTGTTCAGTTAAACAACGTACGATCAAATGGTGTTTAAAAAACTACTTACAACTCTATTGTGATTCCTATTAGGAATATTTCTAAACCTGTACCAATGGATTTCTGAAACTATTATCGGTTGATTTTCTTATTGGAGAACTGATAGAAAACCTTGACAAACTTACAAAATACATGATATTTTAACGGCTAATTTTTCATATCATAATATCGATTCAAGCGTTAAGCAGATACTATTCTAAATAACATCAAATTCAGTTTCTTTAAACATCTATGTTCAGTTTAATTCACCAAACAGTTTTACATACCAAAATGGTCTACGCAAAAATAGAGATAAAAAACTTGAGTAAACCGGTCTGCGATCTGAAAGCTTACAGTGTTATAACATTCATTGATTTAGTTAATAACTCATCAAAAACTGTTTGTCTGCTTTTTTTAGTATGTTTAGATACGTCAAAATTTTCGTATTACATACTAATAGAGTGATTCACATTTCTTAATAGAAACAATTGACTGTCAAATTCGTACTTCATAAGAGTTTGTTGATGTTTGGCTTCTAAAATAAAAAAAGTATTATCAGTGAGATTTCATTAGCCGTAGTGTTTCTTTTTTATGTATAAACTTGCTCTAGCTTAGATCAACTGTGAAGTTTACAATCTCCGCGAATCCTCATACTAATAATAATCATATGCTCTTTTGTGACTAACTTTAGGATGGAACTCCTGGAGTTCTAGTGAGAAGCCGTGACCACTCCAATCCGTGTCGGGTGTGAGATAGTTATCCACCCCAGACAATAGATAAATAGCTGCTCAAGATCATGGGCCGATTGAAGTGTGACATGAACATCGTTGGTTGCCGGCTCAGTGGTCTAGGGATTGAGCGTTCACGCATGAGACTGAAAAACCTGGATTCGAGTTCCGCATGCGGGATCGTGGATATAAACTTATGAGGAGTCCTACACTAGAACTAAACGTTCGTCCAGGGGTGGTCTAGCTTTGATCGACTTGTGAATTAAACTGTAAAAATACCACAAACCCCCATACTGTGATAAATATTTGTTCATTACAATACTCATAAGTGAAGTGAGAATCCTATTCACAGCCTTTAGGCCGATATATCTTCTCTCACTGTCAGGTCCCAACACTTCACTACCAAGTCTGTGGTCTGACTGAGACCGTGGCCAGGTAAACCCTCCAGTCAACCTCTCGGTCGACTTGGACGGGTAAAAGCAGACCTTAATTGGCTCCCTTGGTTAGAAATTTTGGATTCGCCAAATGAATGTGAATCTCTTACTTCATGAATCCACTTCAGAAATGGGCCCGTATTTCATAGATAATCACTAACCTTTCCCAATAAAGTTGTTTTCCAACTTCACCCTTCGAGTAACCAAATGGGCCCTAGGCGGTGCAAGAAATCCGTCCCGGGTAGGTATGTCTCTACCTGTAAGTTTATACTCAGCCAGTCCTCATGAACAAGGAGGTTCCGGACGACTCCAGCAAGGGGACTGGGTACACCGAGCCCCCCTTTGAAAGACGGCCAGAGCTATTCCCATATAAACAGAACAAGAAGAGATAACATCACTCCCTCATTCCAACCGATGGCGGAACCCTGAAGCGCACCGTCATCTGCGCTAGTGGAGACTCACACCAGCAATACATGGCACTCCGTCGAAACCTAACCACAGCACAACGTTGCTGGTAGAAACCACGAAGAGGCAGTCGCCAAGCAACCGTGACCCCCAAAAGGCCCACGACGAACCTTAAGAGAATCATAGTTACTAAATGCATTTTATTCCTATTTTCAAGTTATTGTAAACTCTTCACAACCTTTATAATTATCATACATTGTATATTGGCTGTTTTCAGACTTCCCTTAATTACTACCTCACCCACCTTTCCCTGTGTTTTTGAACTCTATTCCCAAATGGCCTCACACCTGTTTTTACACATATAAATCTATAAATAATCATTATTAATAATGCTTGTTATTCCGAGTCTTTCCGTTATCAATGTCACTTTCACATTATATCATACCCCAGTGATTCATTTTAATACATATATGGTTGAAAGCGGCTAATGAGAAGCTGTGAAATACAGTGAATTCATATCATTCTGCATCAACTATTTTTTGGATTCATCCGGAAAAATAACAAATTATGGAATTACCTTGCAAGTTTTGAATTAATAATTGGTAAATTTGTAACACTTCTCCAGGTACTTGAAGTTGATAACAATGATGAGACCTTATTGTCCGATTTATTTCGAACCATACCTAAACGTATTACTTTTCTATAGGAAGGATTCTGTTGTTTTTTTGCTGTTTTGAATGAATCTGAAGATATATTTGGTAGACTATTTTTAATAATCACATTAGTTGAACCCCGTAACTAAATATTATTCAAAAGTAAACGTATATAGAGAGATTTATTTATGTAAAATTTATGGATTAGGAGAGGCATATTTTGTTC